CGGAAAACAAAGTGACAAGACAACTCGCCCCCAGATCCTTCGTAACTGATCCACCGAGTCCCCGACCTTTCGGCCGTTTTCCCCGCAACGAGCAGCCTATCGGCGCTCTCACTTTGGCTTTTGGTTATACAGCCTCTGAGGTTTCATAAACTACCTGAATCTCGAAATCCGTTTTTAGAGTGGGTGCTGGCTTTAAATATAGAAATTGTAACGCTGTTAAAGGACATTTCGCAAGAGCTACAACATTCTTTGATCAACCTTTTAACATCTTTTTGTTTGGCTAATCTATCCCTTTAATATCAACTTTCGGGCATACACGAGTACAGTGATCGCAATGGTGATGGAGAGAGAGAAAAGAGACAGGAGGAGAAAAGTGAGGGATAGAGGAAGAGAAGAGTAAAAGGAAGGAGAAACCATAAAATCACTGCGCTCAAAATGGATCCCAAAGACCCCGATAAGAAAAAAATCCAAGCAATTTCTAAACGTTCCATGAAAAAAAGCCTATGGAAGCACCTATACAACTAGCAAAATATTAACCATGGAAATATTACACTCATAGACTACAAGTGGTTCCCGAAAATAACTCTATCGCATCGTTTTAGTGGAAGCTTTTATACCTCTCTAAAACTTATTTCTTCCGCAAAAAAATAAAATGTCACGTAATGTCACTGACCGATAAAAACTTCAGGAGAACATAATTATTCCATTACATTTTAAAAAGAAAACATAACCACATTAAATTTCAATAACTAGAGAAAAATGATATTCTATCCTATAAATTACCTTTTCTGTGTCAATGCTGTACATTCCATCACAAAATACTGCCACACGATAATGTAGATCTTCTGAAGGCACATCAAACTTTTGTAGTGACAGGTAGATTTGGTAGAGATCATTGGCACCAACGGCTCCAGACTTCAACATATATTCGGCACGCAGCAGTTGCACCTAAAAACTCTTAACGATTCTGTAATAAGTAACAGATATATCCTGGTAGCTCGTCTCACCTCAGCAAAGGCAGCTCTTGACTCCTTACTGGTTCTTTTTACCAGAACATCTGGAGAATCAACACTGCTCTTCGCGCCTGTCTCATGCCAATGGACGAAGTTTGTGAACAGTTTGTTCATGTCCGAGAATTTTGTGTTGAGCAGTTTTGTTAGGAGTCCTATTGCTTGCGACTGATTGCCCTAAAAGTAATTTACAACTGTTTAGAGTAAAACTAAAATTAATTTAGTTTACCAAAAAATCTGCCCACCTTCTGGAATTCAAAACGCGCCTCTTCCATTCCTACATCCTTCAAGTTGACACCCAACGCCTTAGCTTCCACCAAAAAAGTCCAAGCAATCTGCAGATGGCCAGATTGACGAGCCAGTCTGCAACTCTAAAAGAAGAAAGGTAGAAAAACCATCTCGTCGCTTTTTTTTTTCTCATCAGCGACGTTTTATTACAGTCTTCTAAGTGCTCTAGTAATGATTAGTTTATACCCTTATGTTCTTACTAAAACCATAAATAAAAAAGCTTCACATTTCGAGGAGTAAAAAAAACCCGAA